TGCTACGTATTGTGTACTTCTCTATTACCCATAAAGTCTGATGTAAAGCGTTCCAGTAACATGGATAATACTTTAGAAGACCACAGAGTTTGGTGCCCCGAACCTAGGTTCCAGAAGATGGGATTCTCAGCGAATGGGTTTAGTTAGTTGGTGAAATTTAATACCTAAAACGCCAACTGCCGGGCCTTTATGTCCAGTATGGTTTAACTTATGGAGTAAGGTCCCTGAGTTCTCCTCTTTCCTTCCACAGGGCAAGCAGGAGGACTTCAAGACGACAATTCTGGAGGGTATGGAGACGGCCAAGCATCAGGTGAGGGTGGCGTTTGATGCTTGCCACTTAGTAGCAAGAGCCGCCAAGTTAGGGATTGATGCTTGCAAGTGCGCATGGGTATGGTTGTCCAGAATTTAGCAAGAGATACAGGAGTCATTCACCCACCTGTTAAAAAAGTGAGGGGTATTTTCAAATTTCAGTTGAGGTCTGTACCAACTGTGGAAAAGGACGCTAACCTATGTTGAAATGCCTCAGGCCGATCTCTCATCCCTCCACTCCTCTCCATGTTTAGAGGAGTCCAAATGTCCAAAAAGATACTTCTTACCTAGCCAGTTTCTGCCACCTAGAATGACACAGAAAGCCCTGAGCTTCAGCACAGTAGACCTTTTTACTAATTTGCTGAAGAAACATGGCGTGGAGTATCTCTTTGCTCCTTTGTTTTTGCTTTTTCTTTTGAAAGGGTTTGTGTTTGAGCTGTGTGCCAGTGGTTAGCCCAGATTTATCTGTTGGGATGATTCATAGCCTACTTCTCAGTGGACTGGATTGTGAATTGTATTCGCCATTTGACCTAAGTACTGATGCTAGCAGTACGCACTTACTGCTTAATTCACAGAATTAGTGTCTTTACTCTTAAGCACTTACAGTGCTACTGAAGTTCTTCCTCCAACTCTGCCACTTTCGCTCTCACTTGAGGATTGAGGGTTAGGGTTTTAAGCAAAGGAGTTAAAGGCTCCAGAACCTATTCTGTACCTCTAAGTTGCTCTTTTTGAAGCAATTATAACTTCAAGATATTAATCTGAGAGTGCATCCTTGCTGTTATAGGTAAGGGAGCCTAGTTATGTTTTGGATCTTAACACTTGCGCATAATTTCTGATTATTATAGATTGTGGGCTTAAGGATGCATTGCCTATTTCATTTTTAGGCAGGCATTGGCTGTTTGGAAATTCTGCATATTTTGCATTTTACATATAAGCTGAGGGTATGCTTTAGCAATTGGCTGATTCAGCAGCCAAATAACTTTCCTTCGGAGTGTTTTTCATCTGCAGATGTTAAGTCTTTAAATGAGCAGCATCCCTCAAGATTTCTTCTGTGGGGAAGAAGATAATCAGAACTTCAGCACATTAGTTGCTGATGCTGAATGTGAGGAAGTGGCAAGTGTGTGCATGAATGTGTGAAGAGGAGATGAGAATCCAGTCTAGTCAGAGCCATTCCTACAGTCATTAATGAGTTGCCTGCCGCAAGGAAAGCGTGTATAGTTCTGAACTGGTACTCCCTTTAATGTGTTGCTTTCATGAAACACAACCAGTAAGGGTGCGGGATGGGGGGATTTAATCAGCCTGAAATTAATTTAACTTTGAGCTGTGTAGTTGCAAAAGTAAATTCAAGGACATTTAGTTCTTGTAAGATCTTCCGGTGGTTAGGCCAAATAAAACTGTATCTTTGCTAACAATAGCTAGGCTTTTTCTAAATTCTGGTGTCAAACCCTGTAGTGGTGGATTTTTTTTCTAAATACCAGTGCTCATCTGGAGCTATTCTGACAGTTTTAAAGCTTGGAAGACATGTGGCCTTAAAAAAACCAACAAAAACAATCCCACCTTGGAGTTCTTTCCAAGGCTGTTAGGAGCACCAGTTTCTCTGACTTCTCAATTTGAAGAAATAAATCGCAAAGCTTTTCAAGAAACTGGCAAGTTGCCTTAAATCCACATGTCTGAGAGTTTCCTGATAGTTCATCACTGCATGACAGGCAACACTTTTTAGCAAATATCTGGAGAAGGCACATTCCTTTTAGCATAAGGCTGTAAGAGAGTCAGGTTCAATATTTCAAATCTTGGTTTAACTGGCCATTCTCTGAAAGTTGGCTGCTGAGCTTCTTGCTAACACTTGATGATTTAGAACCTTAATTAAGATTTGTTAATAAAGTATCAGAGAATTGGTAACTTTGGGTTGATTTACATGCAGTTTTACGGAGTTCAGTTTAGCATATGCCTTCAGATGAGGGTGTTTGCACAGTTGGTCCAGTGCTAGACTGAAGGACAACAAAAGGGCTGGGGGATGTTTCTTGCTGGAGAAGCTGAAGTTCTAGCAGAGCTACAGATTTCTATTCCATAGCTGAATATTAGTGTCAAGAAATGTTGCAACTTTGTCAACTTTTCCTGTTGTTAATTTCATTTTACTTTCTTGCAGTGCTCTGTAGCCTCTAATTTCCTCTTGTTTTAAAATTCCTGTAAATGATTGCAGTTTTCTTTACCTTGAGTCATCACACAGTTAGATCTTTTAATCTTCGCTTGTGAATGAATTTTGTTAGCTTCACAACTGTTACCCTTGCTTAAATTTTTTTTCTTCATCTTTGGGTTGTAAAAATGCTTGGAAGTTAAAGGTGTGTGTGTGTGATAGCACCGGAACTGAAAGAAAAGGATTCTTCTCCCCAACACAGTGGCATGTGCACCTCTGCACATGAACTTCAAACTTCTAAGCAGTTGTCTTGGTTTGTGGAACACACTGCAAGGTTATATTTTCTTTGATATTTATTACAGTCTTTTGAACAATTCCAGTTTCAGCAAATGATCTTAATCTTACTGCATTACAGGTGGTTTTTTTCCCCTTGGGATGTATTGACTTATATATTTACAGGTGGAATGTCCTCTCTTCTCTCTGTCCTGATCTTAAGTAGCTTCCTAGGACGTATGAGATTATATTGTTCTTGCTGTATCTCACATCTCAGTATTTGATTTTGCTCACTGTGCCTGCAAGATTCGCTTTCTGCACTCTACTTGTGCTGTAGCATTTTATGCAGCTGTGTTTTGATTTGTTACTTTATATATAGTATAACATTCAAATGAGATTGAGGAATGTAGGGTACATAACTGTATTATTACTTCATTGCCAGTGTTTGAATTGATAGAAGTACAGGTGGCTTTATGAATTGAAGTCATTCCATAGCAAAAATGTGTCCTGTATAAGTTCAACATTCATTTTTTACCTGTGGAGCATTTAAAAGGAAAAGTCAGAAATCTGTAGTTGTTGATTGTAGGCAGCACTTGGGGAGGGGACGCAGGAAAAGCATAAAGTAGGATTGTATTTCATTGCATAGCCTGTTGCGAATATATAAAATAGGCAAAAGGAGAGGTTGAGATGGTTTCCTTTAGCTTGGGGAGTTCAGTGCAAATGAAACCTTGAAAAGGAGCTGAGAGGGGACTGTAGGCATTGTGCTGGTATCTTACAGAGCCTTTGGCTTTGAGCAGGTTCCAAAATGTTTTTCATATTCTGGTAGAAACTGGAAACCACACAAATGAAGGACAGCATCTAAAGCAGTTACATTTCAATGATATGATATTATATATGTTACATATATAATATTATATATTATATTGATATGTGCCCCTGCCCTCCTTATTTTTCAGGTTTGGTTTTTTGGTTTGTTTTTTGTTGGTGTTTTTTCCCTGTAGTATAGCTTTCTCATTAACCCTATATGATACCTGTAATTCAAAGAACTGCTGACTTGGGAACCTACAAGTCTTGCAGAAATATATAAAAGGACTAAATGAAAGTGTGATGTGAAATTGGTCACCATATCACCTCAAGGCTGGATACACTGGCTAGGAAGGGTAGTGTAAAAATACTTAACTTAGCAGTTCCTTTTGCAGTGCCTGTAGACAACTTGTCTTTTTATTGTAGGTGTGGAGGGTGCAGCTTTCCAGAGTAGACTTCCACATGACCGTATGACATCTCAAGAAGCTGCCTGCTTCCCTGATATAATCAGTGGGCCACAGCAGACTCAGAAGGTGTTTCTGTACATCAGGAACCGCACTGTAAGTATTGATGAAAAAGGATAGGACATTTGTGTACCTTGCAAAGAGTTTTTGGCAGTTACCATGTCTAACAGTTGGTAGATTTTTTGTATGTTTTAGAGATGGTGGTGTTTCATTTTTGTCATCCTGACATGCTCTAAGTGGCTAAGGAAGGTGCTACCTAGTTCTTCATTGAGGCAATGTGCTGTGAGGCAGCATAAAGAATCTGTAGTACATTTACAGTATCCAAAAGAAAGTCATAACAACCATCAAAACTACATGATTCAGTTAATACAGCTTTTAAAAAGTAAACAGACAGTGGGTGCAAATGTTCTATTACTTGATCTCAGCTTAAAGAAGTCTCTGTAGAATACTTAAATAATATTCAATCAAATACATTTTTTCTTAGAGTAAGGCAAACCTCTCCACTTTTATTTTTTTACTTTGTTTAGCATCAGTTGCTGTAATACTGGGACATCAAGCCAGTCACGTCGCTTATTCTCCATACAGAATAGTTACTTCACCAGCTTTGATTTCATAAAAGAAATTGTAACCTTGAAGAAATGAAACTCTGCTTCTGAACGTTTGTAGCATTTCTGCCGAATTCAAAACTTCCATGTAACTTAAAATATAGAAAGAAGGGGCAATATTCAAACAATTAATTGGGGAGTTCATTCACCTGAGTTCAGGCAAGCATGCCTGAAACTTAAACCTTCATAAGACTTAAACAGTAGTATTGTGTTTTGCAGATGATGCTCTTAAATTGTGTCAGTGCTTTTAGGTTCCTCAGCACACAAACAGGCTTCAGGGCTTTCTCCTGTACTTAGAAAAGAGTATTTTAGAAAACTTAAGTCATGTTAGAAGGATTAACAGTAGGAAAGCAAGAAATATTTTGAAATTTGTTTTGTTACCCCAGCTAAGAGAGAAAACACCTTACACACTACTCAGTTTGTTTAATGGACTTAACATGGTCAAGGGGTACCGTGGTGTATTAACCGTGGTAGCACCCAATGCTCAATAGCTTAAAAAAGTTATTTGTAATTTATGCATGGTGGACATCTTCATGGTAACAGCATGACTTTTGCTATTCCTGTGAAATCTCCCTCTAATTAACCTAAGTTGTAACTTGGGAAGTCATAAGATGCCAGATCAAGGCAAGCTGAAAAGTTTGAAAAAGAGTTTGCTCAAAATGTTTAGTGAGTAATCCTTTTACAGATACATTAGAAGCAGAAGAGGCTTCCACTGAAACTAATAAATGACTGGGATTTAAAGGAATGTTTGGAAGGGGTATTTGCAGGGCTGCACTAGAAAAGCCGCATCGTTGGTCTGTTTGCTATGAAGGAACTTAAAGAAGTTCCTAAGTAGGAAACCCTTTCTGAGGAAGACCTGTGAGAGGATCTCCTCCTGTCAGGGTGGCAGAGGTTATAGAACAGTGGATGAAGCAGACGGTAATATAAAAATATGGGCTTTGCACTATTCCAGCTGAGAATGGAATCTTAATTAGTTCCACACTCAGAAATTATCAGAAAGAATATCGTTAAACATTACTTGGAAAACGAGTAGAAGAAAGTACTATGTTAAAGATTCAATTTGCCTCAAAATGGCCTCCTAAATTATATGGAAATTTGTTCTTAATCTTTCCTATTCAATATATTTGTATGATTTCCACTTGAATTTGGTATCTGTGAGGAGCTGTGAAGTTCAGTAGTGCAATTGTAGAGAAATACTAAAACAAATTACTAATTCTGGAATTTAAGATGGTGTGGAGATGCTGTGTACAACCTAGATCTAGGCATTAACAGTAAAGTGTTATTTATTAACTGTTGCCATCCATGCCATGAAGTAGGAGTTCTTTTGAGAAAACAGTTGTGATTCTATTATTTTGTGCTTTTTTTCTAGCATGAAGTGACATAATTAATATTTCAAGGCAGCTTTTCCTTCTTGGTGTTTGAACTGTAACTGTCCTCTAAGTGTTCTTTTGTAGACGTGGGCAGCATAGTTCACGGTAGTGTCTCAATACCAGTGAAGATGGATTAGATGATTAAAAGTCTGAGATAACTGAACTCCATAAGATGACAAGTTCTTCTGTAACTTTTACAAAAGTAATGTGAAATTTGATGCTGAAAAGTCAGATCCTGGCTGATGTTGCATGACCGATTAAAATACCACAGGACGGAAGGCTGTACATATAAGCATTCTGGCGCTTCCATTTTATGTTTTCTTCTATGTGTGATTAGGAGATTGCTAACTTGATGCATTTCCACTTACTTGAAATGGTGTAGAAAGTTAAAATTGACTGTACTGTACCTAAAAGAACACTGGAAGGGGAAGTTCAGTGCGGCTTGGATTGCACTGCCAAAATTTAACTTGTTAGAGGGTTTTATCGCCTGACAGTGTTTGGTAACAAACATGCACATGGAAAGCACCTCTTTTGTATTGCTTAATATAATGTGTCTTATGGTTTGTTTAAATACAGCTGCAGCTGTGGTTGGATAACCCAAAGATTCAGTTGACATTTGAAGCAACTATCCAACAATTAGAAGCACCTTATAATAGTAAGTCAAGTCTTACCGTACTGTATGTATCATTGCTATTCTTTTTCAGTTTTGATTGGGGAAAAGCTGCTCGGAATCAAGAGAGGAATTCAGATGGGTCCTCCTCTTAGCAGAGCTCAGTGAGTGTTTGTGTACAGAATGGGGTATTGCAGTATGCTTGTGTTTCAGGTTTGTTAGAGTTCATTTGTCTGGCAAAGAAATATAACCCTACCAGAATTCAAAAAAGCTCCTAAAAAGATTATTGTTACAGAAGTTTCCTGTGAGTGAATCCACAGGCAGCTTTTAAGGTTTGCTACAACTTCATGGTGGTTTGCAGATGTGAGATTTTCTTAATCGTAAGGTTTCTGTGAGGCATTAAAAAGTTGCATAAGACTTCAACAGACTGGCTGTGATCAAAGAAGGCAGTAAAAGAGCAAGGAGTTACTGCTTGCAAATGTAGGCCATTCCACCCTTCACAAAAAAATCCCAATAAACTGGAAAAGGCTAGAGGGTAGCCTAAAGAAAATGTAATTAAAGAAGAAGATGCTGAAATGAATGCAGATAGACTGTAAAGTATTGCAAAATAGTGAATTAGTGTGTCTATAAAAATAAAAATGAGAATTCAGTGCTCCAGTAATGGTTTGACTTAATACTGGCAAATCGCACTGCAGTTCTGTGTAAAGATCTTTGGATTTCTGCAGTTAATTTCAGAAAAGGTGTTCTTCCACACTAGATAAATAGAAGCATTTAATGTCCTGTACAGCTTTTCAGGCAGTATTCAGAACTGCAGTGTAGCGTGGAAAACAGCTTGTGGTTTCCAGAAAACTTTAACCTCAGCCTTCTTCAGGAAGATGGATTCTTCAGTAGGGCAGCTGGGGGTACAGAAAGGGAAGTGTTCAGTGTGACTTTGCTGGGTTGCTGCTGTGACACATGTGGTTGTGAACATGTTTTCAGTACGTAGGTGCTGCTGAACATACAGAATAACTTTAAAACATTACAATTTTTTAGGTGATACAGTGCTTGTTCACAGAGTACACAGCTATCTGGAGCGGCACGGTCTAATCAACTTTGGTATCTACAAGAGAGTGAAGCCCCTTCCAAGTAAGAAACTTGAAAATTGTTTTTAACTTGAGTTTTGTTTTATTGTTCTGTGATTTATTAGGACAAATTTTTGAGTGCTTTTTTTAGGATTGTGGTGCTGAGAAAATAAAAAAAAGGCTGGAAAGCCATCTGGCTATAGATGTTCCTGTTTTTTATTTTGGCATCGAGAAGCCATGTATTTAAGGAGATCACTTTGAGAGGGAAAATGTTTGCAAATCTTCTGTCGATAATATGGTGGCTGTCGCTGTTTAATGAGTTATCCGTGTTCCTCATTTGAATAACAAAAGACAGAAACACAGTACTGTACTTATCTGTTATGTGCTTAATGATGCTTGAATTTTACATGTGCTGAACTTGTCTGTCCTTTCTAGGTTTTATTCTTCTAGGGCAGAAAGAAATGAAACTATGATACTTTGTCCCACAGAATTAATAAGAATCAGTTTCTTCAAACAATTGTCCTTCAGAAATATTTTTCCTCCTGTTTTCTTCCTTGTTACAGATGGAATACTGGTGTATTTTTCTTGTACCTGTCTCATTAAGAAAAATTGTGAAGTGTTTTACTGTTACCACATTATGTAATTACTTCCATTTTCTTTTGTGGCTGTTTGTTTTGTTAAGGAGTTTGTTTTGTCAGAACTACTGGTGAGAAGGAAGCTGCTCTTTGTTCTTGGTGTCTCTTGGGTGCAACTTTAACCTGACTGCTTACAACTTAGTAATTCACATACAGAGCCTGTAGCTTATTCTTCCCTTTCTTTAGCCAAGAAGACTGGAAAGGTGATCATTATTGGTTCTGGAGTCTCTGGGTTGGCAGCAGCTCGCCAGTTGCAGAGTTTTGGAATGGATGTCACAGTTCTGGAAGCCAGGGTATGAATTTCTGTGCTATTTTACTTCTGTACGGAAACTTAACCAGTAACCACGTTCAGCAGTAGCATAAGGCTAAGCATCCTAGCAGCATGCCCAAGATGGGTAAGCTTGTGTGTAGTTACAGGCAACTGGGATGTATTGCTCAGTACTAAACCCATCTCCTAGGAAACGAGTGGTTCTGTTCTTGCTGGGAGTTGGCTAGTGCTTTCTCAGGGGTGGACAGGCCAGGTGCTAGTGTCATGTGCTTACACTAGTAACAGGCTGGAATCTTCTTCCTTTCATGATTAGGAACTGATTTTTCACTGGACAGCAGAATGCAAGCCTGTATTTCAAGAACTTGCCCATTAAGTTTAATCATTGCAATTGCCATACAATGCCAGGCAGGATATTTTTATTGTACCTTTTAAGTCTACATCAGTTTTTTCCTTCTTTATTACTGTGTGCTTAACAGAGGCTTTAAAGTTATATAGAGCTACATTTTGTGGTGCATGAACTAGCTGATTGTTCTTCCAGTAATAAGGTATTTTATATGTAGCCCTAAGTGGAATCTCCTTTCTTTTGAAGTTTTTTTGATTATACTGTAATCAACTGAGGACAGCTTGATACTCATTTAAAATAAATAAATCCAGTGACCAATTAAATTGGAATTTATCTTATATTTTACTTCCTGACTTCATTTTGTTTGTATATTTACTTCTGACATTTTTCTAGCACAGATTAAAATAATATGCTTAAGGTTTTTTTTACTAGAGTAATGTTTCAGGCTCTTAATTTTTCTAGCTACTGCTCTTGTTGCTAGGGAGCAAGATCTGTTGGCTGTGCTTCACAGGTTCCATACCACTAGAGCAAGGGAGAGTGCAACATCTAATGAGGAGTCTTTTGCTCACCTCTGATGGGTTGACCTTGGCTGGATGCCAGGTGCCCCCCAAAGCCGCTCTATCACTGCCCTTCTCAGCTGGACAGGGGAGAGAAAGATATATAGAAAAGCTGGTGGGGTGAGATAAGGACAGGGAGGGATCATTTGCCAGTTACTGTCATGGGCAAAACAGACTCAACTTGGGGAAGTCAGTGTAGTTTATTTCCAGTCAAATTGGAGAAGGAAAGAATAAAAACACCCTGAATTTTAAAACACCTTCCCCCCACCCCTCCCTTCTTCACAGGCTCAACTTCACTCCCAATTTCTCTCCCTTCTCCCCACCAGCGGCGCAGGGGAATGGGGAGTGGGGGTTGGGGTCAGTTCATCACACGCTATCCCTGCTGCTCCTTCCTCCCCAGGGCAGGACTCCTCACACTCCTCCCTGCTCCAGCCTGGGGTCCATGAATGGCTCCAGTGTGGGTCCTTCCCACGGGCTGCAGCTCTTCACGCACTGCTCCAGAGTGGGTCCATCCCTCCCATGGGCTGCAGCCCCTCAGGAGCAGATGGCTCCAGCGTGGGTCCATCACTCCCACGGGCTGCAGTTGCTCAGGAGCAGACAGCTCCAGTGTGGGTCCCTGCAGGGTCACCAGTCCTGCCAGCAAGCCTGCTCCAGACTGGGCTCCTCTACCCACGGGGTCACAGGTCCTGCCAGGAGCCTGCATCAGCCCAGGCTTCCCACAGGGTCACAGCCTCCTTCGGGCACCCCTCTGCTCCGGTGTGGGGTCCTCCCTGGGCTGCAGGTGGGGATCTGCTCCCCCATGGAGTCCCTGGGCTGCAGGGGCACAGCCTGCCCGACCATGGGCTGCACCAGGGGCTGCGGGGGAATGTCTGCTCCTGTGCCTGGAGCTCCTCCTGCACTGACCTGGGTGGCTGCACGGCTGCTCCTCTCACATCTTCCCACTTGTCACTCTCTGGCTGCTGTTCCACAGCAGGCTTTTTCTTTCCCCTTCTTAAATACGCTGTCCCAGAGGTGCTACCACCATCGCTGATGGGCTTGGCCTTGGCCTTGGCCAGTGGCCGGAGCTGGCTGGCGTTGGCTCTGCTGGACACAGGGGAAGCTTCGGGCAGCTTCTCACAGAAGCCACCCCTGCAGTTCCCCCCACTACCAAAACCTTGCCACACAAACCCAATATGTCACCTGAATGTATTGTGGGGATTTTTTGTTTGTTTGGTTTGGTTTTTTGGGTTTTTTTTGAGGCTGGAAGAAAGAGATCCACGCTGTGAACAGGGCTTTTTTCTATGCATCTTTGTTATAATCAGTATGTACATCTGGCAAGAGGCTATTTTAAAATAATGCACAGTTTTTCAGTCATTCTTCTCTAGACTGCTGCATCTGTTCTTGAGCAGTCTGTACTTTTTTATTTTTACTTTTGAAGGCTGTCTGGTGTTTTCTCACATTATGATTTCAGTGATTCAGGTGGTGGTTTCTTTGTGTCCACTCCTTTTCTGTAACTTTTAAACTATTAGTTTACATGCTTCTGAGTTGCTGATTTAATGATTAAAAATCAAACTTTGTATTTTTATATGAATTGGTAGCTGTTTGGGATCTTTGCCCAATTGTAATTGATATTTCTCTCTGATATCATCCTGCTGGCTGGACTGAGAATAGGGAAAGGCGGGGTGGTTTTTTGTCCCCATATTAAGTTTAAAGTGGTAGGAAAATAAGTGTCATCCTTAAGTCAGTAGTATGATCAAGAAACAATTTTTTCCTGCTTCTGAAATGGGCTGTTGATTCATGGTTATCTTCTTGATTGATAGCTGGCTCTTTGTGGAGAGTAGGTAGGAATAATTGGTCAAGGGTTTTTTCTAGCCCTAAAATTTAGTTTTCTCAAGTACAGCTGAAACATTTCCTATACAGCTGTTGGATTTTGTGGTAGGAAGTGGGAAGAGGAAATTAGTATTTAACTTTATCCATGGACAATGAAGGTTTAGAATCACAGTAGATCCTACCGTACCTATAGTTAAATCTGTCCAAATCAGATTAGGCATATTTTTTCTTTTTATTTCCTTTTTTTTAAAATACTAATTAAATATTTTGTTCCTTAACTTACACAAAATTGAGATGAAGTGTTCATTTGCAGAGGTTCTTGGAGAAGTGTGTTTATTGAACCTTAGGATAAGAAAATACTGATACCATGTTCTGTAGAAGTTTCAGTGATTATATTTAAGTGAGATGTATTGCTGAATGTTACTGGAGGTTTAATACATTGTGCTTTTAAAAGGACCGAGTAGGAGGAAGAGTTGCTACCTTTCGCAAAGGGAACTACGTTGCTGATCTAGGAGCAATGGTGGTAACAGGACTTGGTGAGTTTTTCAAAATAAAAAGGAGGAGGGAGGAAGATTGTGGTGGGACAAGATGTTACAAATCTGAAACCTTATGCTATGTTATTTCATGGCCAAAATAATTAGGTATTTTTAACAATTAAAAAGTAGATGTTCTAGTTCAGCCTCTTTGGCAGTTAGCATTTTTTTAGCAGTGAATCTTCAGAACAGATGGCAGCCCACACTAAAAGCTGGGATTTCTGTTGGTGTCATAGCTCTCATTGGGCTTGTCATGTCATCACACTGTTGTAGATACATTCTTTTACAGTTTGCTTGTGCTTAGTGGAATTCTTTGCTCTTTCCTTCCCTTTTGTATGTCTGTTCCTTTGCCCAGTTCCTTTAAGGTGGTATCTGCACTGGGTTCACTGCACTTGCTGAGCAAGTCTTTCTAAAGCTGCTTTACCCAGCTGCCAGTGGCCTTTGAGCTCAGGTCCATGGACTGAATTTCTTGGTAACTGTCTTAAATGTTCCCTTGGATCTTACAAAGTGTAAGCTGAAATTGAACGCGGGGAAGTAGGAATGTGGTGAGGGGATTAGCTGAGTAGCTAAGAGCAAAGTAAATAAGCGCAAATAAATAATAAAGTTAAAAGATGGGAGAGATCCCAAAGAGATGGAGTATGTTTTTTCATTTTCATGGGGAAAAAAGGGAGGAGGGGGAATGAAGAGCAGAGCCGTTCTAAAGAGAAGGCCCTTCTTAAGGTCAGGTTTTAAACCCCAAAAGTCCTTTCTCAAAGTGATTTCAAAAATAGTTTTTAAAAATAATGGCAAACAAGCCATATTTCTTCCTATTTGATGCTGGTTTATGAGATGGCATCAGTTACTGATACTGGTTACTCTGCTAAGAAGATGGGCAGGTGTTTAGTGTGGAATACTCTTCAGTAGTGCAGTGAAATGATAAAATACTATAAAACCTATAATAAAACCTATCTGAGTTTTACTGACTGCCAAAACTTGGTGTCTGTCATATGGTTAGGCTTTATTAAATTACATACAAAACCTGTTTCCAGACAAAGAGTATTGAAGTTGCACGGTCTTGGTAAAACAGATTTAAAGTTGCCTAGTGAAAGACTTCAATATTTTCATATTTCATTTATCATGGGTGTTTCCTTTCCAAAATAATCTACCCTTTTCCTTGAATGAGGCAGCATATACTATGGAGAAGGAAGGATTCCTGTAGTGAAGGAGTTGGTTTGAAGGGCATCCTTTATATTTCTGAATCAGGAAGAGATGTGAGGAAGAAAGACTAGTGGAGGGGTTGAGCTTGTGGTTCAGGAAGGTAAAAGACTGAAGTTATGGGATCTCTTCTGGTTTTGTTAGTGTGGTAGTTTGACCCTGGCTGGATGCCAGGGGCCCACCAAAGCCGCTCTATCACTCCCCTATAACCAGACAGAGGAGAGAAAAGTAAATCAAAAGGCTTGTGGGTCGAGGTAAGGACAGGGAGAGATCATTTTATCAGTTACCATCACGGGCAAAACAGACTCAACTTAAAAAAAATTAATTTATTATCAATCAAAATCAGAGAAGGAGAGGAGAAAAACTGCTAGATCTTAAAAATGTTCCCCCCACCCCTCCCTTCTTTCTGGGCTCAACTTCACTCCCAGCTTCTCTGCCTACTCCCCCCAGCGGCGTAGGGGGATGGGAATGGGGGTTGGGGTCAGTTCATCACACGTTGTCTCTGCTGCCTCTTCTTCCTAGGGAGAGGACCCTGCTCATGCATGGGGTCCCTTTCATGGGAGACAGTCCTCCACGAACTTCTCCGACGTGAGTCCTTCCCACAGGCTACAGTTCTTCATGAAGTGCTCCAGCATGGGTCCATAATTTCCATGGGGTGCAGTCCCTCAGGAGCAGACTGCTCCAGCGTTGGGTCCCCTGCGGGGTCACAAGTTCTGCCGGCAAACCTGCTTCGGCATGGGCTCCTCCCCCCACGGCTCCGCAATGGCCTGTCCGGGACCGCAACCAGCCCCAGCT